TAGTACAATAGAGGGCGTTGTTACCCCTCCAACCCACCCTTCAAGCTTCATGGAATTTCCATTTACAGAACTTACTGCAATGTGTAACTGTATAACTACTGCTGTGGATTATTTTCTACTTTTTCTGACTGTTACAAACCATATGAGAACAAAATATATGATGATCACCACAGTGTAAATACATAAAAGTGCTGAATGAATAGATAGGAACCAAACTCAGACTTTTTTCACAAATGGGTTGATTTAAAGAATCTCAAGGTCTTTGATTGGGGGGAGAGTAGTTAAATTTTATAGAAAATTAGGTACACATACAGGTGAAAATAAATATTCCTAAATATATTTTGATCCGTAAGAGTGCTATTGGTTACTATGAGTTTAGTTGGTTCGTATTTCTATTGGATTATTTCTGGATCATCCTATTTCTCATTCTTAGCCAGTGGTTCTCAATCTGTGGATTGTGAGTCCTCTTGCAAACCTCTATCTCCAAAATATTTACATTGCAATTCATAACAGCAGTAAAATTATAGTTATGAAGTAGCAACAGAAATAATTTTACTGTTGGGACTCATCACAACACTGTATTGAACGGTCACAGAATTAGGAAGTTTGAGAAAGACTGTTCTAATCAATTCTTAGCATTTTGAGATGTATAAACATCCCCTGAAACAAAGGAAGATCATGAACTCTCTTTGTATGGAAGAGGAATTGTAGCATGAATCTTAAAGAGTCTTATTAATAAAAACAGACCCAGGGCCAGGTATTGGGGTGAATGCTGAAAGATCAGAGACAGAATGGGCCACAGCTAACCTCACCTGGCCAACTTCTCAGCTGATCCTGTTTCCTCAGACTGGAAGCCTCTGAGTCCTCATCCAAATGGATCTCAGCTGAACTGCTCAAAAGCCTAAAAGCTTAATCAGCTTTAGTTCCTGGTCCTCACACCTGATATACCTTTCTGCCATCACTTCCTGGGATTAAAGGCTCTCTTCCTGGGACTAAAGGCGTGAGTCACCATGCCTGGCTATTTCCAGTGTGGCTTTAAACTCACGGAGATCTGGATGGATCTCTGCCTCCCAAGGATTAAAGGCGTGTGTGCCACCATTTTCTGGCCTCTATATCTAGTGGCTGTTCTGTTCTCTGACCCCATATAAGTTTATTAGGGTGCACAATATTTTGGGGAACACAATATCACCACAAGGAATCTTGCTGTTACACACAGTCTTGAGAAGACCTAAAGTTGTGCTTTGCTGGAAAGCTGCAGCACACAGGTAACCTACCCTCTGCTTTACAATACATATGTAGGTGCAAAGCAATGCATACATTGGACTATGTTAGCCTTAATAATCAGTCACTGTAACTGGAACTTTCTCTTCCACCCACCAGTTCCTGAGTAACCATTCAGAGGGTTAATACTAATTATAAATTCTTGGCCGGTGGCTCAGGCTTACTACTAGCTAGCTCTTATATTTAAATTAACCGATTTCTATTAATCAAGAAATTGCCATGTGGCTGTGGCATTACCTGTCTGCTGGCATGTTGTTCCTTGGGCAGCTGGATGGTGTCTCCCAGACTCCTCCATTCTTTTCCTGTATTGGATTTCCTGCTTGGCTCTATCCAGCCTTGCCATAGGACAAAACAGCTTTATTTATTAACCAATGGGATCAGCCCATATTCACAATATACAGAAAGACATCACACAGCATATCACTTTAGCTAATAACTTTAAAATACATTTATTTTTTAAATGTCTATTTAGTATGTATGAGTGGTTCACAGCATATATATTTGAAAGTGTGTGTGTGTGTGTGTGTGTGTGTGTGTGTGTGTGTGTATGTATGTATGTTTCCCTGGTGTATATTGAGGTTAGAAGAGGACATTGGCTACTCTGGAACCTGAGTGAGCCACCATATGGGTGCTGGTAACTGAACACAGATCTTCTGCAAGAGGAACAAATGTTCTTAACTGCTGAACCATCTTTTTAGCCCCTGACAATATAGCTTTCATTCCCTCCATCATTTATATCATCCTTAGTTAGCCAAGGAAAAGAATGGCTTTCAATGCTGACACAGTAAAGGTATGGGTGCTAGTTTGAATATTTGTTTTGAGTTTAAGTTTTTGTTTTCTTCTGGAAGAGGTAAATTTACATAGGAGGAAGCAGTCTTTTTGAAATTATACAGCTGAAACATGATCTGAACTCCTTGGGTTCATGGCAGGTCATATAAAAGATTTATGGTTTTGCCTTTGGATTATAAGGGATCAACTCAATTATCATAGAATAGAACAAAATAGGATGTTATAATTCAAATGTCCCTTTATAGATGGCAAAGTTAATAAAGAGAGTAGAAATAAATAACATCTATGCAACAGAGAACATTAAACTTACTTAAAAGTTTCATGAGTGTTCTTGATGAGTTACTGGAATATACTGCTACAATTTATCTTTTTTCAATGGCAGATCAAACCGATTTTCCCCTTCTCAGCAGATACTTTCTTTTTATGTAAATTAATAAATATATTGCATATACAATTTTGCTAAGAACTATAAAAATTCAAGGACAAATATAAAAATAACATGATCTCATGGTTTCTATAGGTATACAATTTATCTTAATGGTTTTTATTGGTTTGTATTATAACCTGGAGCTTGGAAATGTTTAGAAGTTCTAGTCCTTTAAGACTAAAACATGAACTTGGCTGTTGAATCGTTTTCTGTTGTGGAATATTAGTTTAAGATGTGTTACATTCATTTATGCTGTGGAATATTTGTTTAATGGTGCAAAAATATGTTGCATTCTTTTATGTTAACATTTGTTTAACTCTGTGAAGCTGTGTTACTTTGCCTGTCTAAACCACCTGATTGGTCTAATAAAGAGCTGAACAGTCAATAGCTAGGCAGGAGAAAGAATAGCCAGAGCTATCAGGCCGAGAGAATAAACAGGAGGAGAAAGCCAATCTCTGGAGAAGAAGAGGAGGAATCAGAAAAGGAGAAGGAGAGGAGGGCTCCAGGGGCCAGCCACACAACTAGCCATAGAATTAGAAGGAAGGAAAGGTATATAAAATAATGAAAGGTAAAGGACCAGAGACAAAAGGTAGATGGGATAATTTAAGTTAAGAAAAACTGGCTAAAAATAATCAAACTAAGGCCCAGCATTTGTAAGTAAGAATAAGTCTGTGTATTTATTTGGGAGCTGGGTGGCAGGCCCCCAAAGAGTGAAAAAAAAATCAACAACTACAGTTACTACAGTTTTCCTGGTGTTCTGGAAACTCAAGTCATGCCCAACTAAATGACATGATTTCCTTTCTCTCTTCCTTGCTTGGCCACCGCTGATGTTTATATACTAGTCAGAGTCAGAATGAGACAGTCCTGGTAGCATTTAGTCTGCAAAAACGCTGATGTTTTTTTAATGGACTTACTTAAGTCTTAGGTAAGAATATTTTTGTTGCTCTTTTTTTGTAATCCCAGGGCAATAAATAAGCATCAACCCTTGACAAGGCATCTTATTTTAAGAGGAAAAGGTCTTATGAAGACTTTACTCAGTAATAGTAATACCTTACTATAGTGTTGACCAAAGGCTACTAAAACACACATTCTAGTGTCTTGGTAGGTACACATAATCAAAGCAATGAGTTTTATAGGTGAGTCCACTTAGACTACTAAGTTCTGGGAAATAATATTTTCATAGTCTCTTCTTCATTTCTACCAGCATACGTCTTAGTGCTCTTACATCTCATTGCTGTAATACTGGATTCTGTCATTATCTCATAGGGACTCAGTGACAAATGGCCCAAGATGTAGGCACTCTGCTCTAGAGTTCTTTTAAGCCTTTTAATAAATTTGCTATAAGTTGTCAGCTCATGGATACCATTGTGTATCCTTACTGAAAGCTCATTTGTTTTGAGGTAAAGTTTTATCAGTGTGTGTAATAATATTGTTTGTAAGACTATCAGAGTGATGAAGATATGGGAAAAAAACACCCATAAACTGAGAAGATCTTATATGCCTGCTCCATATGTTCATATCAGTATTAGAATATAAGTATCACTACACCATTTTACTTAGAGAATCTGTGAACACGTTGGTGCATTTGGAACTCCACTGTTATACCATTTTCTACCCCAAATGGAATACTAGTCCTCGTGGTTATGAGGTTTGATCCCTATCTGTTCCTCCATTTTTCTATTCCTTGTCATTCTCAGAGGGTGTCTCATCCTTTTGTAGGCTTGTGAAGGGCTTTTTACTGTAAGAATTTTTTCTCTTTTCTCTGATGGGATTGGGAGAAAAACACGGTTCCATCTCAGTTGAGTAGAAGAAAATGTCCCCCAGACAGCGGTAGATGGCAAAGCTTCTGTGTTACATTTGTTAATAGAATTAATAACTTCCAAGGAGACTCAGCTGAACAAAATTCATGAGACTATTAGATGGTATGGTCTCTCCTCTCAGCAATGAAACAAGAACAGATGTTTTGTGAAATAGATATTTGTATTCAGAGAATGATTTTGAGGCGATAGACATTTTGAGACACAGATTTATCTTTAATCTTTGTAATGTTGACGTTACTAAGTCAAATACTAGGCAGAAATGTGTATTGTCTGTCTCAGCTACTTTTCTTGCTTCAACAAAATACCTGATAATATAGGAAATCAAGGAGGGAAATGTTTGTGTGCTCACAGGTTGAGAGTTCTGTCCATGTTGGCAGAGAAGCCCTGGTGGTAGGAGATTGTGGTAACTCCTTATTGCATCAGCAGTCAGGAAACAGAAAGAAATTCCCCGTCTCTTGTTTCTCAATTTAGGACCTAGCCCACAGAATGGTCCTGCTCACATTTATTCTGGATCTTTTCTTAACAATTAATCCAATCAGGTAATCCCTCATAAACATGCTTAGAGGCTAACCTTATCTAGATCATTTCTCCTTCTTGGAGGTTGTCTACTCAGTGATTTCTTGATGCTCTCAAGTTAACAATTGATATAAACCACAGCATGTCTTTTTTATGTTTTATTTTAATTGCATAAACATTATATTGACATTGTAGTACAGAAGGAATTTAACTACAGAAGCATTTTAACTTTCCAAATTCTAAAAGGACAAATTTTTCTGCATATGAATTTGTGACTTACCAAAACAGGTCTACACTATAACAGTATTTGATAACCTATTTTTTGTTTATTAGTTTTTCATTTCATAAGATATTTCCAATGTTATTTGTGATTGCAATACTCTAACACACTGTTGAGCTGCCAAAAAAATGTAACTAGTATTATATTACTGAAAAATTACATTTTTTCCATTTTCAGTCAAAACAAAACTTCAAAAAATTTCTATGCAGCTTTGCATCAATGTTTTCATATAAATTTTAAATAGCTTACTAACATTCAGTTCTCACTTTATGTGGCTTGTATTCATCACATTCTGCATTGTATGCATTTTCTTATTATTTACCTATAATTTATTCAGGTATTTATAAGAACATGTATACATTTCTTACTTTAGTATTGTACCATTTTGATATTTTCACAGGAGATTCCCTACTTACTGAGCCCTTAAAGCCTCAGCTGTTCAGTAGGTTGGATTTGAGATATAAATGCTACATTTTTTTCTGAAATTGTGAAGCTTGTGGTTAACAGACAGCTCAGTAGTATCAGACTTTCTTAAAATTAACCTCTGATTTTGCTTACCAAAGAGAAAAGTCACAGGTCACATTTTCTGAAACAAATGTTATATTCTGTATTTTTATCACCAACAGTATTGAGACCGAACAGACCTAAATAACAGATTTTGAGAAAGAAGCAAAGAAGAATACTGTGAGAATTTATTTGCTATTAATGAATACACAGTGCTCTGTAAAATAATCATGTTAACCAGCACACTGGCCTTCCTGCATCATCAACATTTCCTTAATAGTCTGTCAAGCAATGCTGAATCAAAGATAGCATTAAAGAAACTAGACTCAGCTGCTAAGCCTGAAATGTTTACACCCTACAAACATCCTTAAAAAGAATAATGATAGAGCTCAAGCCTTGGTTTCTTTGATCATATTCCTGGATGCAAGGCGTTTGTGGCTGGAAATTTCTCTTTCTAGAGCAATACCTGAGAAGATTATGTCTCCAAAGCTAGTTCCTTGTGGATCTACATTTGTGCCTTTCCCACGACTGCAGTCATCCATACCTGAGTCAAGAAAAAGGTAATGTAGGGTAAGCTGTCAATACCAAGGATTGAAATGGTGAAAACAGTCTTTGAATGTTTTTGTTGACATGGCTAAAGCTATAATTACTTGTTCTTTTCTTGTTTATTTCTCCAAGACAGAGCGTGCTTTTAGTGATGTTCAGATTTAGTGAATTCATTTTGCCTGATTTATTTATTATGATGATGAGCAAGACATAATTTCTCTCCTAACACTCTCTTCAGCATTAGTACTAATTCCAGCAGCATATTTTTGAGACGCTGAAAAATAATTGACTACATAAGATGCTCCAATTTTAAATCATTGTCAGATTACTATGATTTGACAATGTATCCTTTCTATAGCACTATTATTTAAATGGAAGGTATTTACAACATGTTTCTTTCAGCATTTGCTCTATATACTGTTCAGTCTCATTATCTATGTTAATGTCCAGACTCAAGTTAAATACTTAATAGCAACGAAAGTGTAAAACTGAAGGTTGTGCGAGAGTTGGGTGCATCAGCTTCTGATTTTTTTCTCCTCTTCAGTGGTTTGTGTAGGGTTCTTTGAAAATATCTGCCTCTACTTCTTTTATCAGAGCTTTTTGGGCTGGTCTGCCAGTATTGCGGATGCAACTGTTTCGGATACATTGATGTCATCCATCAAGGGAATCAGTCTACGTAATAAGCAGGGGAAGTGCTAACTAATTTTTATTAATGACAAACAGTGATGAGAGAAAGAAACCCGCACTGAGGTCAAATTCTGTAATCCACAGTTGTGTGGTTCATGATAAACATTTTAAAACTCAAACTCATCTCCTTTGTGTGAGCTATGGTAAGGGGGCATTTGGGTGATGGTCCGTAGTGAGTAAAGGTTTATTGCATTTCTTATTGCTTCTCTGTCAACAGCACCTATGTTGGCTTATCTATCACTGGCAAAGAGATTGCAAAGCTACTGTTTCTATCTGATACTCATTTGAACACTTAGGTTGACTTATCTATCACTGGCAAAGAGATTCCAGGGCTGCCGTTTCTATCTGATACTCGTTTGAACACTTCTAAAAGACAGGATGAAGGGAAATCACACATAATTTGTTTTGCTATTAAATTCTGGTCACAGGAAGTCAGAATAAAAAAAATCAGTATCTAAAGGTCTTATTTTTAATCTGTACGTACTTAGGGCAACTGTGCATTGTAACATTATGGGTTAATTGTTTCTTTGGAGTGATTCTACATCTGACTATGACTTCCTAGAAAATGCTAACTTATATAGAGTCCAACAGCTTTCATTTTATGGTATAACTGTATTTCATTGTATACAATGAGCCCAGCACTGGTAAAATATGAAAATTAGGAAATTAAAAATGATACAGAATTCCTTCCTTCCTTTTGCTTTCCTTCTTTATTCCTGCCCCCTCTGTCCCTCCCTCCCTTCTTTCCTTCCTTCTTTCTTTTCTCTTTTAAGGTTAAATGCATTTGATTTTAATCCAGAAGCATGTGTGATAGACCTGAATGTTGTGTATAGGCCGTTATGAAAACTATGATCAGCCACATGATGGCTCTCAGACGACTAATAATCATTAGATTTTTTATTATTGTTGTTGAAGTTTTTATAAGTTGGTAATTGGAGCCCTGTTGAAGCTAAACAAGTTGGAAAGTCAGGGTACAGTCAAATGATAGAATAAATGTACGGCATAAGCAGGAGGCATGATGTCAGATTCAGATACATGAATCCTTCCCTTTGTCGCATCCATTCACGTCTCTTGCTAGGTCCGAGCTTCATTTGCCCATTTATAACAAAATCTCACTCTAAAGACCCTGTTATGAGGATACCTGCACATTTCATATCTAGTATTTACACAAGTCAATATACTAAATGAGATGTGAACTTTCCAGATGGCTTTCTGTTTAAAAGTTGCACTCTTATTAGACCCTGGCTCAATCTTTATTAGCAATGTGATCTTAGGCAATTAGTTGAAATTTCCAAGCCTGCCCTGTCTCTTGGTTATGAGGAGAGTCATCTGAACCCAGAGAAGTTCTACAGTGTTGAGTGTACTACAGTGTTGAGTCTACTCACATGTGTCAGGCATGTAATTAACAACTATATGCTAAACTGGGTCCCTAAAATAGTATGGCCAGCTAATATGTGAATATATTTTGAAAATGATAGATTCAGTTGATAATTAAATATTTTTCATACTGTTAATTTTAGTTATTTTGGATTTCCCTTTTATTTTAATGTAAAGGTATATGTGTTCTTAATTTGTACTCCCATATATATTTTTAATTTATGTGTTTAGGAGGAAACGAATGGATGAGGTAATCATTGAAGATTCAGGAATAGAGAAAATTTCTTTAGTTTCATTACTTTTAAATTGCCCCTTTCCATGGCATTTGATGTAGAAGACAAAAGAAATAAATATCCGTTTTAAATGTGCTGGTCACAGTAAAAAAATGAATTCACCTCTGTGTTTTGTTTAAAATATTTTTGCATGAATTATATTTCTTCATGTGCTCTGACAGATTTGTTCCATATTAAACTATTCAAACTAATTATAGTTTTAAAAAGTCACAACTTTGTATTTTCTGTTTAAATTACTGCTTTCACACAAGTAAGCATATATTTTTCCTACACTAGAAATATGGGCTCCTTTCAAAGAGCTCACACTGAACTGCCAGCAGAATGATGCTTTCCTATTAATATTCTGCTCCATGAAAGAGATTCAAGCAGCTTTTAAAGTACTTGAGACTGTAAAGATAATGGCCTCACTTTTGGAAAATTCATTTGATTATTAATATCATTCAGTTTACATCACTCTCTTTTGCAAGCTAGTGCCACCCTGCATGTGTGAATAATTCACACCTATTTCAGGTGTTTCTGCCCAGTGTTATGGTGCTGTGATCACCTTCTGCCTTTGTCCTGCTTACAATCATGTTGTCAACTGCTGTCAAAAATGCTGCATTCTTTTCTATTATAATGAAGACAGCTTGCTGTTTCTAAGGCTCTTTTGCTAAGAGGCACGGATTGGAGAGTGAACACACCAAGCATGAATTAAAAGAGCAAGATCCAGACTATGATTTGTGTTGGCAATGTATAAGGATGAGAAAAGAGCATATCGGATTAAACAAACAGAAACACACAGCAGGTCATGGTGAGGAGGATTTTGCAGACACTGTCTTGCTTTGCTTAAGGACAGTTACATTCTGAGAAGTTTATTGTCATGCAGATTTTGTCATCTTTTAAACATCCTGAGAGTATACTTACACAAACAAATATAACCACATGCATAACTAGGCAATATGATCTTATACTGTCATTGGCCAATCCATTGTTGTTTACAGTATATAAAATAGGAGCATATATCATACCCAGTTAAAATGTTCAATATAATCCCATATATTGATTGTGAGCTGTATATAAAAAAAAAGAGCATGTATTACACTCAGTTAAAATGTTCACATACGATCACATATATTCATTCATACTGGAGTCACCCATGGCATAGTAAAACAAATATTTTACCTAACAGTGTGAATTGTTGTGTGTCTTTAGTATAAACAAAACTGATTTGCACTAAGTGTCATGAACATTTACAACACTGACATTAAATGATGCAGTGGTCCTTTGGCTGTCTCACTTGCCGCCCTTATAGAAGAATGGAAAAGCCACAAACTACAATGCTCATGGTAACACGGTTTGCTGAATCTCGATTTTAGTTTCCTTGGTAACTCTGTTGTCCCTCCCTTGTTGCTCTTCACCTTCTTTCCTTTCTACACCTTTCTCTTTCTCTTCTCCTTCCGGGTCCCCTTCACTTCCCTTCAGAGGCTCATACTGTCTCCGAAATCCTGGCTTCCAGTGACCTTTCTTGTTTTTGTCCCTTCAGTGCTTGAGATTGTAGGGACTATCACGTGCTGATGATAATTCGTGGTCATTTCTCCAGAACTCTACATTTCCCCCCTTTCTTCTTAGTCCACATGCCTGACCGGCTACCTCCACACAGTCCTCACTTACACACACAAGTGGAGACTGAAGGTGTGAGCAAGACTATCCTTTGCTTCAAAAATCATTTAAAACGCATATAAATTTACCTTTGGGTTGTGTGTATAAGTGGTATAGGCAACCCCAAGGCTCTTTGTTTAAAATCAAATTCTAACGTCAAGATAGCTCATTCTTTCTGAAAATTTCACAAAAAAATATCGAGTCTGGAATAAAAAAGATTCTAAAATTTTCAGCTAAGGTACACTAAATCTATCTTTAAATATAACATTACTTATACATAATTTTAATGTATGATTTATTTAATTGTTGAGTAAATATTCATATAGTAATTATTCTGAAAGTATCAGGAAAATAATTATTTCTATATAGTGCTTCTCTTACACAGAAGAATTTGTTATTGATTGATTGGGTGGATTGTTGAAAATACTGAAGGAAATTTTTTTTATTTGGGAATTCTAAATAAGGTCCAATCTGAAAATGAGATAGATGGAAATTATTGAATATCTAGAAGATGTAGTAAATTGTGAACTATGTTTTAACACTGTGAGTATCAATATAAACATGACTAAAATAAATTTTATATGGCAAATTTCAGTCTACATACAGCAAAGTAACTTGTTTGAAGAGTTATTAATAAGTTTGTCTGGCCCTGTGTTGGGTTCTGAAAAGATAAACAAAATGAACAAAATTGACAGTTCCTGCCCTAATAATTTTAGATCCAAATTCAACCATACTGGCAGATTTGGAGGGACCCAGCAAGAAACATGCCCTCAGATCAACTCCTGATGAGGCTCAAAGTTGGATGTTATTAGTGTTGCATTCCATCTGCTAGCTTCCTGTCTATTTCAGTCTATTTTTGCTCATTATTTTTGTAAATCTAAGTTAAGCTGTCTCTACTTTGCTCAAAGAATGTATATACTTTCAATATACAAATGACCAAATTTCTAATCACACACACACACACACACACACACACACACACACACACACACACACACGATCAGAACATATTTTTCTTCATAGATTTTTCTTTGCTCTAAAGCCCATGGTGTAGTTCCACATGAAGGATGTGGATCATAAAAAATATTATCATAATATATTATAATACTGGAGGAGAATATGGAGTACTAAACAAATATACACAAATGTAAAGTAAATCATTGATGAGGAAAGTTCCAGTGACAAAGATGGATGAGAACTCAAGGGAACAAGAAGGACTTGAAGAAAAGTAGATGGAAGCTGTGTTAAAAAGAGATACATGCTTTTCTCAATGTTGGACTGAATAATTTCTATAGGGAATTTGTATAATAATTCTGTAGTTGAAAATAAAGCTGTGTGCTAGAATATTTGTTTATCTATAACACAGCAAATCAGAAGCATGCATTCTCCAATTTAAAAAAAAAATGTGTTCTCTTTTTTGGAAGAAGGTTATTTGGGAGTTTCTGTTTCTCAGCATTGATGCCAGATGGCAGTGTCCACAGATTGTCAGCCTTGCATGCTGATAGTTGTCAACTTTGGATGCTAACAGGGTTTTAGATGTAAGTACTACAGAATTTAACTTTTAATTCCATCTATACTGCGGGCATACACTGTGTTCCAGGCACTGGCCGTACACTTATAAGGAGACTGTTGGATGGGTATTTCTTTCAGGGCACTTGCTGTTTAATGGGACTTTAAGCAAGTACACAGTGGTTTACCTTACTGTCACTTAAACCAATTCTGAATGTTTATTGTATCCTAGATTCCATAATGGAAATAGAGGAAAGGAAGATATTGAGCATAGAAAATGAGGAGACAGATCAGTGTACCTCCCTCATGGGAAAAATACGATGGATAGTTTTTTGTTCTTTCATGTACCTTCTCCCATGTCATTGACATCCCTCATAGTCCAGACGCAATGTGGTATTTTTTTTTTTTTTTTGCAATTATGTCTAATCCAAGGTCATGCCTTACACTGAATGACACTGTACACCGCTGTGATTTCACTGATGTGCCCTCAGTATATTGCCATGATTTTTGTAGATTGATGCTTGGGTGAAGCTTCAGCTGGGTTCAATATTTCCAATTTCACTTGAAGTTTTGCCTTTTCTGTGCCTTCTGCTGAAAATAAATCTTTGTTTGAAGGCAAGTTTAAACATCTTTATGTCTCCATTGCTGCTCTTGGTGAACCTTGTCAAAAATATTGATTTTGCTCTTTTTCTTGCTGCTGCTTCTACTAAATGATGCTTACTACTCAAAGAGCCTTGGAGAGTCATGCTGATATGTACTCTAGTGAAAGGAGGTTTGCTTGGATGATTTTTTTGAAGCATAAGGATGCATTTGACTTCAGCCTACATAAGAAGGCACTTCAGAAATGAAAACCAGGAATATAGTTACATTTGGATGTGTTGGCTTGAAAATGTCCACTAGAGAGCCAAGTAGAAAAACTGAGTAGGCAGTTGAATACATAAAATGGGAGCAGAGACTGGGCTGGAAATAAAAATGTTTGCAATCCAGGGATATATCCGGGAAATACATTTTGAGTTTAACTATAAAAGGGAACTTATTTTTAGTAATATAAGAGAATGGATCAACCCAGGATATTCAAGAGCAACCCCAAGGGTTTGAAAAATGCCATTAAAAAATGGGAACACTTTCAGGTCAAGTAAGGAGAGTGGCTTAAAGAGAAAGAAGTGAATAACTGTGCCTATTGTTACTAAGACAAGCAGAAGACAGCTGCAGCTTGGCTTCTGCCCTGTGACAAGTACAGTTAAATGGTCCCTTGACCTCTGTGGGTTCAGCAGAGACAGAAGAGCCTTAACAGAGACTAATGAGTCAACAATTAGTCATGTAAGCTATCCTATGCACAAGTGCTTGGGACAGAGTTGTGCTCCCTTCCCAATACACATGCTGAAACCCTAAATCCCAATACGACAAAATTTGACTGTATTCAGATAAATACCTTAGAAAGGTGATCAAATTAAAATGAAGCTATAATCCAGTATTATAAGAAGAAGGAAGTTGAACGAATGGAAAGAGGCCAGTGTGCCATCACTGTGCAGTTCTGCTTACTTCCTGGCCATGACTCTGACCAGGTATTCTTTAGGTCTCATCAGCAACTCTGCATCATGATGGCCATGGCATTCCACAGCTGGAGAAAACAGACCTACTATAACATTTTTGTATCTCTGAATTCATCCTCTCTTATCCTGTCCCTTTGTATCCTGTTCTGTGTTTAAAGGGTTCCCTTACAAAAGATATGTTTCAATGTGTGTGTGTGTGTGTGTGTGTGTGTGTGTGTGTGTGTGTGTGTGTGTGTGTGTTGTGTTGTGTTGTGTTTATTCAATTTATTTGACTGTTTTAGCTGTTACTTTTGAGAGGGCATGTCAGAGGCAGAAGGTCTGTTTGGTAAAGCAGGTTTCTTTTATTTATATGTCTTAGTTCAGTCAAAGCCTATGATTTGCTTTCTTGCTAGGTCTACTTCATGGCCATGCCATGCCTTAAGCCAAGAAAATAGATCCTCTTCAACACATTTTTCTCTGAGTGGATTCTTAACGCCCCCCCATTCCTTCCTATCCTGTTCTGTTCTGTCTCACTTTTGGTAAATGAAGTATCCATTGACATCACAGACAATCTATTGAATGGTAAGTGTGAGTCTTCCTGGTTGAATTCTCTAGATGCAGATCCTAACAGAGTGGGGGTGCTGGGTTATCCTGAAAAAAATATGACCAGGCAGCATAGCCCTTTGTAGCTGAGGTGAGCCTTGGAATACCTGACAACTGGGGATTTCCCCACTAATAAAGGAGGAGTGTATGCCACATTTCCATGTCTATTTATATTATGGCTCACATCTGAGAAGGCTGAGGCACTTTGTTTACATTCTGTGTTGTATCTGTGATATTTCTGGGTACTGTTATATCTGTATATAAACTATATCTGCAGAATTCCCCAAATAACTTTTGAAGTATGGTAATAAATCGCATTGTCTATTTAGCTATGTTTTGCAGTTATAAATTATGTGAGCACCGAATCCTCACTTTTAGACCATGAGGGAGCACTGGACAAACTCTGGAGCTGGATTCAGAGTTAGTTGGGAGTTGTCTGACAGTCCTAGGAATGGAGTCTGGATCCCATGCAAGAGCACTCTTAGCCATCCAGTCATTACTCCAGCTCCACTTTTCTCTCTTTGTCCTCTGTGTTTTGCAATTCAGAAAATACCTTGTTTGTTGTTGTCTGATTTCACACAAACTTGGTGATTCCTTAGTATTTGGTTCACTACCAAATTCTTGTGAGTGCTGAAGATTTCATTTTTGAGCTTATATAGAAGATTCTTTTTATGACGTGTTCTGGAGTGCTGCCATATCCCTCATTTAAAAAAGGGGGAGCAGGTATTAGAAATGTTTATTTTGAAAAAAAAAAACCAGTGTAAACTTCAGCTAATGCTGTACCACAATCACAGATCACACAAAACAAAATATCAAAGTACAACAACAACAACAACAACAAAAAACCCAGAAAACAACAGCAACCGCAACAAAAACCCCAACCAGATATGAAATCAAAGCATCAACAACCCCCATGGACCTAGCAACTTCCAGTTAGTGACAGTGTTAGAATTCAGGGCTAACAGGGAAGAGTGGATGGCTGCTTGCCAATACAGTGATATTTAGAAGGAAAGGCGCTGCTTTAGGTGGGCAGGGAGAAGGGCAACAACTCCCAGAGAAAACAAAATAAGGGGATTCCCTTGTACAGGAAAAAGAGGATGCTAGAATTATCCTCATCTCAGCTTGTTCAGAGCCTAGACTATGAATTTGTTTGCCTTGAAGCTCTGTTGTGCATCCTTTACCTGCTCCTGTGTACGAAGGCATACTCACTTATGATGGTGAATTAGATGACTGGGGGGTTCTTCTCAAGCTTGGTTGACGCAATGGTGCTCATGTTACCCATAATAATTTAGTCGAAGATTTGCTCGCTGTTGTTGGGTTCCACCCTGGAATTCATTTGGTGCAGCTTCTAGTGGCCGGTTGCTATGGCATCCTTCATGTCAGCTTTGTTCTCTGTGTGCTCAGAGATTTTTCATAAAGTAGTCAGGAATTCTTGTTATGTCTAAAAGCACAGAATGGTTCTTATAGTAACTTCAAGTTGGTGCCGTACTCTATTCACTATTCTGTGAATAGTTTCATTGATTTAATTCACTGATTTCATCATTTATTAAGAAACAGATTAATTACATGTAGCTGCATGTTGACACTCCAATGGACATATTCTTTATAAATGGCACACATGTAAGTCTGGGTTCCTGTATTATCCTCCCTGGTTTCCCTTCTAGATGTCATTACTCTGCTGTTTTTCCTTCTCTTGCTATAAAAAAATTAACAGATATACAAGTTTCCTAGAGTAACTTATTTGATTTTAAATAGTTTTCCACTTTATTACACTGGAGAACAAGTGACATTCAGTGTTAAACTTGCATCTTTCCTTCAGCATCACGTTACAAAAAAAACCTTTTTCTACTGTCGCACACAGCCATAAGTATTAATTTCTGCTCTAACATTCCATTGTATGATTGTGTTACCACACCTCCATTTCTGTGTCTGGATATTTAAATCTATTTGTCTCATTTACTATCAATTAGTGCCTGTGAGAACATTTTGTTCCCACATCATACCACTTTCCCTCTGGCACTTTTCTAAGATTCAAATGGCTAGATAGTAAGTATTACTAGATACCAGATTGTTTGCAGAAATGATTTCACTAACGTATTATTCACTGTCAAGTAGTAAAACCTCCTTTGATTCCCATCTTTAAAGTTTGGTGTGTGTGTGTGTGTGTGTGTGTGTGTGTGTGTGTGTGTGTGTGTGTGTGTGTGTGTGTGTGTGTGTGTATGTGTGTGTGTGTAAAGTGAAGTTCCCGGAAAAAAATGCCACATGTATATTGAGATTCTACAAAGGTAGTGGCTGAGTAGAATTTTGTAAATATGGAAAGTCAGAAAGGTTGCAGACCCAGAGCCAAAATGATCTTGGACTACCTCTAGTGTCTTAAAGACCCATTCACCATTCATTGTCCACCTGTGATTGTCTGACTTAAAATCCTTTCATGTATCAGATTAAACCTTTGGAATGGTTTAACAAACAGATCACTAACACACCACAATCCTGAAGCTATGAATGCTGTCTGGTGAGATCTAAAACCTATAGCAGAATTTCCTTGCTTTTCTAGAGAGTGCCTGCCTGACATCCCTTCCAATAGATTTGGTGAACTCAGTGATGTATGGCTTTCGTTATGTGCCTAATTCATCTCATTTAACTGCTGCCACAGCCGAAAAAGTTATTCAGGCAACTTGAGTTCACTCATATTTGTGTCTGCATGAGCTGTCTGCCTTCTTAGATGTGAGAGCTGTATTCTGTATTGATGGCTATTTACTGTAGGCTCATATGGATAGATATTTTGTTACTTCATTATAGTAGTCTTGCTTTCATTTCTTCCTAAAATTTCCAGCTATTTAGTTCTTTGTCTGGGAAGAGACATTTCATATTTCTTGTTGTTGCTATTTTTAATGATCTATTAAAATTATATACATATTCTTATTTTTGATTACTAGCTATTTTTCTCTTTCTAAACAGAATTCTATTTAGAAACTGTTTAAAGTAGAAGAAAATCCCATCATGAAAGTTCCAGGTAGAAAATGGATTTACCAATAAAATGGAATTTTAGAGCAACAAAAGTCTAAAGGGCCACATAACAGAAATATCACCACTGTCACTTTGAAACACATTTAGTAGATGTTCTTGTTAAAAATCAGAGTGCTCATCTGTGCCCACGAGGCAGCTTTGGCAGGATGAACACCTGACATCTCTGCCTTCTTATTTTTTTTCTTTTCTTTTTAACTGTGCTCTCTTGTGTAGCCTTTTATTACTTGTTCATGTTGTATCATGTTTTAAATCCCCTCTTTTAGTCAAATGTTTGTTGTTTTTTTCTTTTATTTTTGAGGTTATAATGTAATTACATCATTTTCATCTTCCCTTCCCTAAAGACAACCTGCTCAGTCTGTGTAACATTACTCTTATGCACGTATTCAGGGCTGGACTTTGATATTGGATAACCAGTTGGAGTGCTTTTGTCTGGAGAAGACTAGTCCTGCTCTCAGCATTGCTCAGTTGCCTGTAGTTCTTTGTGTAGGGTTGAGGTATTATGGGCTTTCCCGCTTTGCTTTAGCGTGTCTGCTATTGTTGTCTTTGTTTAGTTCATGTTTAGGCAATCCTGTTGGTGAGATGTTCTTCATGGGTGTTTAGCTTCTGACATCATTTTTGGTCTCTTCACTTTGGCTGAAGACCAAGACTGAGTCATTGAATTAAATCTTTACTCTTGAGTTGCTTGCATTGCAGGGCATTCCACACCTCAATGGAGGACAGAACCCCTCTCTACTCCATAAGGACAGCTCATCATGAAGATGAGCTGCACCCTCAGCAGAAATAGTCTTTGAAAACTTTGATTCCCTAAACAATAACAAATTCATTGGGCCATCTAGCAGGGCCTGAACCTAGACAGTGTTCAAGGGAGCCATACTCAGCTGATGACGGCTTAATTATACACACCTCATGATCCTTGTTCCAACTCTTCTTGTATTCAAAACCTAAATCTCTTTTCAGACCAAGAGTGACTTGGGGTCATTGGTTCCCAAGTTCCTCCACCTAATGTAATTCCATTGAATAAACATCTCTCTACTTTTCATCATCACTTATCTCTTTAATTGGCATAATGGGTGCAAGTAGCTGAACTAGACCTGATAGAGCAGCTGGAGCCTGGACTTTTATCCTAGAATTCCAGTTATAGTTTGGAAGATTGATATTTACTTTTTATTTATTTTCTTTTATTATTTAAACATTTTAAAATCACTCAATGTGGATTTTCCCCTGAACATTACACAGAACCTTCACAACAGTTTTACTGTATAAATTTCTCTCACTGGGAGGAGGAACAAATTAATGGTCCAGTGACCCCCTAAGGAAGACATCAGATGCCCTACTCCATCACTCTGTATTTACTCTGAGACAAGCCTCTCACGGGCACAGACCTTGGCTGGTCACCACCAAACCTGTGTAATCCTCCTGCCTCTGCCTCCCATAACACTGTAGTTTCAGGATAGTGCCCATAACCAGCTGTTTACATGGGTGCTGGGGGTTTGAATGCCACTCTGAATGCTGTGCATGTACTCTTACCCTTGCACCTTCTCCTTAGCCTTTATTTTCTGATTTCAAAACACCTGATCTAATATGACAAGAGTTCCATGTACCTGCAAATGTAAGACAAGACCCCAGAACCTCAAAACTGGTTGTCATAGCTCTTGTAGCATGTCCGAAATCCCTATAGGTCTTGTCTTTGGCCTTCACATCATTTAAGGAGTTGCTCTGTGAAGCCGTTTGGTGTCTTTGAGGCCTGCTAATCGCAGTTAGCATGGTAGCCTAGCTGAGTGCCGGGTGTGCTTCTTCTTTAACTTGGTAGAGATGAAGATCTCGGTTTCCCCTGGCCACCCTCCCGATAATTTTTAAAATATCCTCAAATTCCTAGGAATTGTGCTTTTTGAAAGGTGTATTGGTTTTTAATCGTAACAATTGCTTTGAGGGACCTGTCCACATCTCTGGGATTCTAACACCACCCTGTCACATTTTACTGTGTAGCTTATGTTAAACACATTTCCTTTTTTTTTTTTTTTTTTTTTGTTGGTTTGGTTTGGTTTTTCGAGACAGGGCTTCTCTGTGTAGTTTTGGTGCCTGTCCTGGATCTCGGATCTCACTCTGTAGACCAGGCTGGCCTTGATCTCACAGAGATAAGTCTGCCTCTGCCTCCTGAGTGCTGGGATTAAAGGTGTGTGCTACCACCGCCCAACATTTCTTTCTTTCTTTTTCTTTTCTTTTTTTTTTGACTTGTCCTTTCTCCTCTTTGACCCCTATAGTATATACATTGCATCTTAGCATAATGGATATTAGCCAAAATTGGCCAATCATATAACATAATTTTTATTATAAAACATTGAATATCTCATGCAATTTATGGTATTTACTGAAAATAAGCTACCAACACAGTTCATCGAAGAGTATGTTTTGTTCACACCCCTGTCACCTACCTGTATGAGACCTATGCCTTGCCATAGCTGCTCAGTATCTTGAGAGTATATATTGCACATTGCCATCCTGTGACAAGGTCAGATTGATTATTGATAGCCCAGGGAAATCTGCATTACAACATTAGAAATTATGTGACCTTCCACCTTTTTATCTTCTCATCCTTTTGATCACTAGGCACCAGGAAGCAGAATCTTTGTGATTTCAAATTTGCAAAATATATCTTAGTACCTATTGTTGAATTCTCCATCTTTTGTTTCCCACATTAGCTAAAGTTAAATGGGAGTTGTTAAAATTTAATGATTTTGGTTAAAGTGGAGAAATCTAGAGAGCAGGCCCCACAGGTGATGTTACAAAAGGAAGTCTTGTTTGATTGAGCTGTGACGTGTTTACTGTGGTAACCACAGGTGTAGGCACCTGTAAGCACTGCGAGCAATCTAAGTTCTGCGAGTGTTGCCTACCAAGGACCGATGGAGGAGTTGATGGGGTTGTGTTTTCATCAGCCATGTTGACATTGGAAACCATTTGTTGCCTCCTGACCAGCGATCCAGATTCTTCCTTCTTTTACACCACGTCTTACAAGGTTGCACATGTAGAAGTTGGAACCCACCATATAGAAATTTGACTAGATGATTTATCTACTTTTTTCACAATGCAAAATCATTAAACATTTAGTAGAAACTGTACATTGAATTTTCAATTTGTTCTTTTTCCTTGATAGCAGTTGGTGCTAAGATACTTTCTTGTGATTCAGCCTGGTGAAAGCAACCTTAGCCATCCCTGAAATAAACATGAAAAACACTCAACAGCACTCTACTGTGCACTATGTGTGCAATGGTTTTAGATATGGGTGTTTGGATACAGATCAACCGGGGGCGTGGGAACTCCAATCCCTCCCTCAGCCTTTGTCTGAGCATCTTCTTCCACTGTCCTTTGCTGGGTTTATATTTACCTCTTCTTATAAAGACAACAGACATGGTGGAT